AGCAACAGAGTCTACAGCAGAATTCAAACTAATAGTTGGTCCTTTCTAAAATTCCTATTTAAATTAGTGTGGCTTGGACACTGAGAAGAATATCAAAAAGATGTCAGTATGCACATTAATTATGAAAAGGATTTTGAATGTCCTTATCATTAAGTAGAGTCCTGTTTGAGTCCTGGGCTAATCAAATCCATTCATGTAAGAAAGTGTTCAGAATTAAATTTCCCATGGTTAAGCCTGCTAATAAAACTTGTTTCTGGACAGCAACTGAAGATTCAATTGCTTCAGTCCACAGGAAGGTTATTTCAGGAACAGTTAAAATGATAGAGCAGTTTGGTAGGTTGACATAAGTGGGAATCCATTATGTACAGTAACCGCAAATATAAGAAAAGAGCAGACTTGCAAGGTTGTGATTGATGAAGAATTTGCAATAGCATCTAGTGCAAGATGGAGAAATATAATATTGGCCAAATTCAAATTTATTTGATTTATATACCGCCCTTCTCCCTTGCGGGACTCAACATGTGAAATTGGAGAGGAGCAAGCAATTTGTCGGAACATTTAAAAATAATAATAATTTTATGGAGGAAGGAAGAGGAAATTTCATGGCCAAGATATTTTATTTTCTCTAAACAAAATTGCAATGTAGATTTAGATTTAGAAGATTTTGCTAAATGCAGGAAGAAGATACACAAAGTCCTATTTGCATGCTTCCTGTGAGGGTGAAGAAAGGAGATATACTTAATAAGAACTGAACCGCTAGGGAAAGTAAAATTCTTACAATCTCCTTTAAGAACTTGAGAGAAAAAGAGATTCAGTATAATCTTGTGGCAAATATACTGAAAGTCTTTGTAAGTAGTCCTCATTTGCCACTGCCTTGTTTAGCAACCTTTCATAATTATGATGGTGGGGAAGAAGTAATTTTACAACCAATCCCCATATTTACAACCTTTGCAGGTCTGTAAATCAAAAGAAAGCTGAAGCAAGTTCATAAGCATAGTTGCATTTTCATTTAGTCACTACTTTGCTTAATGATTGAGTTGCCATCCCAGTTGTGGTTTCTAAACAAGGACCACCTGTAAAAGTAAATGGAAACTGTCAGATATCAAAGAGTCTGGTAGCACCTTTTCAGACTAACAGGCTTTATGAAGAGGCATAAACTTATAAGCTATACAGTAAGTAAATTATAACTCTATCAGATTCATGGGCCACAGTATCAAACAAAAGTTCAGACACAGGGCTGCCAGCCAATATAGATGGTCTTTAAATGTTGCTGAACTTTGCTACAACAGCCACAGCTTCTCTGTATTTTCAACGCATGTCAATACAAAGTGCTTTTCAAAAATGGTTTCATGCGCTCTAAACCATCAATCAGAGAGTCACCTTTATTTTGTTTACTCTGATCAATATAACTTCAGACAGTTTCTCTGGTGTAATGTTGAGATATACAACTGGGTATCATCAGCATATTGGTGGTGCCTGAGTCCATACTGATAGATAACCTCACCCAGAAGTTTCATGTAGATGGTAAACAGAAGGGGAGACAGCATGAAACCCTGTGGCACCCCACAAGTGATGGCCGATGGGCACAGTCTCTCTCCATCTTCCAACAATTTATTTCAAGCTTCATCTTTCCATATATACAATAATTTCTTCAAGTAACCGTTTGTGGTCAGGTAATCATTTCCTCTTTAGCTTATTATGATAAAGTAGTATCCTGCAAAATCTAAAATAACATGAGGCAGCATGAAAATAGATCACAGAATGCTTCAAAATACTGAAGTGGAATCAGTCGCATTTATAAAAAATGAATTGGAAGCATGCATGAAAATAAATGACATGGAGGCAGTGTTTACATTGTCTCCTAGATAAATAAATCCATAAAAATAGTAATGCTTTTTAAAGAGCATTACATTGTTTGGTGCATGCCAAGGGAGATTTCTATTGATGTTGAGGATCCCTGCTTAACTATGCAAGAAAATGAACTAAATGGCTTGTATGGCACACATTTTCAACATGGAAATAAGTTATGTGTGTAATAAAGAACTCTGATGTTTTTATTTATCAGACATATTAGTTTTTGAATTGAATAATTGGGAGTTCTGTTCTTTCTGGCTATGCAACTTGTCTAAAATGGGGAAGCTACAGCTCATCTAAAATAAATAAGTAAAAACATAAAAACAACATTTTTTCAGTATTTTAGTACTTCCTGTTTTCAGTGAAAATAAAAATCAAACTGTTGCTCAATTTCGTAAAATGCCAACTGCCTATCGAAGTAACATCAAATGACTGGAGGCTAAAGCATATAAGGAACGGTTGCTGGAATTGGGTATGTCTAGTTTAATGAAGAGAAGGATGAGGGGGGACATGATAGCAGTGTTCCAATATCTCAGGGGCTGCCACAAAGAAGAGGGAGTCAAGCTAGTCTCCAAAGCGCCTGAAGGCAGGACTAGAAGCAACGGATGGAAACTAATCAAGGAGAGAAGCAACCTAGAACTAAGGAGAAACTTCCTGACAGTGAGAACAATTAACCAGTGGAACAACCTGCTTCCAGAAGCAGTGAATGCTCCAACACTGGAAATTTTGAAGAAGAGACTGGACAGCCATTTGTCTGAAATGGTATAGGGTTTCCTGCCTGAGCAGGGGGTTGGACTAGATGACCTCCAAGGTCCCGTCCAACTTTATTATTATTATTATTATTATTATTATTATTATTATTATTATTATTATTATTATTATTATTATTATTATAGAAGAAGAAGAAGAGTTGGAAGGGACTTTAAAGGTCTTCCAGTCCAACTTCCTGCTCCAGCAGGAAACCCTGTATGACAAGTGTTAAACTCGCCGTGTCACGTGACGTGTCGCATCACAACTTTTTTTGCAGTGCCGGAGCTGGGGTGGGTGTGGCCTCCGTATGATGCAACACCCCTGCCCTATACCATTTCAGACAAATGGCTGTCCAATCTCTTCTTAAAAACTTCCAGTGTTGGAGCATTCACAACTTCTGAAGGCAGGTTGTTCCACTGATTAATTGTTCTCACTGTCAGGAAATTTCTCCTTAGTTTTAGGTTGCTTCTCTCCTTGATTAGTTTCTATTCATTGCTTCTTGTCCTGCCTTCAGAGTAATTTTCAGAGTAATTTCAGGAATAGGAGCAGGATCAAAATTATTAGATAACATTAAGTGAGGAAATCCACCTGTTGGCCAGACTTGTCTCCCAGCATCCCTTTTTAGGTCTTCACACCCCCCCCCCCAAGCTTACCCTTTAAGTCTCTGCAAAGTTAAAATGATCCACTTCCCCTTTATCCACCCCAGCAACAATATCTGCTAAAAGGGACAGAAAGTTTGATAATGTCTATTCCATTTTTTTTTAAATCCTTCCCTGACCATTAAGCAAATTGGCTGGCTGAACTTTTGGTTTGCCAACAAGCACACTGCAGCACTAAGTGTGGTTATGGTTTAAAATTAATGGGGCAAGGAAGAAATAATTATCTTTTTCCACACTTCCATGACAATTGGGAGTAATGCTGAAAGGGAAGTAATACGCATTTAGTTTAAGTCTATTTTCCCAAGATTGGATAAGATTTTCTGCTCCTGAAGTGAAGGTCTGTTTATCTTTCTCTGGGATATTCTCCTTGGAATATATTTTTTTTCCTTTTGGCTACTGCTTTGTTTGAAAACCTAATGTATGCAGATGTTTATGGCCTAACAAAGTGAGATTGAATGAATTCTGAATGACTGAAATAACTCATGAACGAGGCTTAATATTGACAATAAGTAATGCTGAAAGAAATCTTAATAAGTGAATGATTACCCTTCTCTATTTCATATAGAAGAGGGACAGTAAACAACAGCTGTATGATGGTCTTTACCAGATCTGAGTATAAACAGAACCAGAGGTGCCTGGACATAATTTAGTCTCTGAGTTGGCTGAATTGCTGGTACAGAACCTTTGATAAATTCATCATGGTTTTTTTTATTCCTGGCATAATATACCCAAGACTCCAGCTGATGATAGCCTAGATAGAAGCCCATAATAACAGAGTTAATTCATTGGAGAATGGTTTACTATGCAGTCAGCAAGTACTAGAATCCAACAAGCTAACATTCTAGTAAACTAGAATACTGAAATGCCTTAATTTAGAGCAGGGGTTCTCAACCTTGGCAACTTTAAGACTTGTGGACTTCAATTCCCAGAATTCCTCAGCCAGCAAAGCTGGCTGAGGAATTCTGGGAGTTGAAGTCCACAAGTCTTAAAGTTGCCAAGGTTGAGAACCCCTGATTTAGAGCTTATCTAGCTGAATGTAAATTCATATTTTTAAGGGCGGGAGGAATGTGAATGAAATGCTCAGCCCTTATAAATGCTCAAAAGCAATCCCAGGAGGGAGAGGGGAGAAACCTCCATTTACAGGTACAAACCCTAAAGCAGTTCAGAAAGATTCTCAGTTTAGTACCAGTACCAAGCATACTATGATCACCAAATGACCTAGAACAAATGGTTAAATATTTTTTTTTTAAAAATGAGCCATCTAATTGAGAGATTTGAAGTTGAAAAACAAAAAAAAAATAAACTGGCATAAATCATCTTAAGAAAGACAGGAATAATCAGAATAAAGTAACTTGTCACAATACCTCTGAGGTAGAAGGGTGGTCAGAATTTCAGGAAAACGTAGCTAGTAGGAGACCAATTGCTGGAGTAGACACCTTGTTTCACATGGGATGATTTTTCTAAAATTTTCCCAAAATTAAATTAATTGTTTGACAGATCTTGGTATCTTAAAGTGGCATGTATAAATAAATATAGAAGATTAAGTGTGTTCCATTTCAAAAGAGACACAAGCCACATTTCTTAGATTGTCTCCAACCTGCATTTCAGTCCAACATTACTAAAGAATATAAGGAGATAGGATGCCTATACTGCAACTGTACCTCTACCTGAGCAATTTTCTTGATCTGCAACATTGGGATGATATTTAAATAATTCTCTTGTTATTCTTTTTACTAGCAACGTTTCTGGAAGATTAAAGACACTCTTGGATCTGCAGAATATTGGAAGGGATTAAGTATGTCCAAAATAACTACAGAACTTCTGTTGGAAAGAGCAGTGCCCAAATCTACAAGGCTACGAAAGATCAAAACGCTGAAGTAAGTGCATGTATGTATGTGTACACAGAACTCCACAAATCTGACTAAGAAAAAGAAAATCCATACCGTATTATTCCTAGTCCCTCGTTTTTCTCAATCTTCACAGCAAATTCAGTTGTGGTTTTGCCCTCTTTCTTTTTTCTCCCAAAAACTACAGTTACAAAGTGCATAGAATTAACCTAAATCACAAGTACAATATTGAACATAATATTATGATTTAAATTTGTTGTTTGATCTTTGTATGCCACCCAGAATCATTGTTGTGAGATCGGCTGACATATAAATTATTCAAATAAATAAATAGCAGTACCAACAGCAATCACGACAACTTTCAATTTGAAGTTGATACTATTACTCTGTAATAGAGTTTTATTCAACAACAGCTTTGCTGAATCTAACCATCCATTCCTCCGTCTTTTCCCAGAATAATTAGGGTTTTTTTTTTTAAAAAAGAGTATTTTAAGAACAATTACATCCTGCTCCTATTCCTGAAATTACTCTGAAAGTACTCTGAAAATTAGTCTGAAGGCAGGACAAGAAGCAGCGGATGGAAACTAATCAAGGAGAGAAGCAACCTAGAACTAAGGAGAAACTTCCTGACAGTGAGAACAATTAATCAGTGGAACAACCTGCCTTCAGAAGTTGTGAATGCTTCAACACTGGAAGTTTTTAAGAAGAGATTGGATAGTCATTTGTGTGAAATGATATAGGGCAGAGGTGTTAAACCAGTTGCATCATACGGAGGCTGCGCCTACCCCAGCTCCTGCACTGCAAAAAAAGTTGTGATGCGACACGTCAGGTGACACGGCAAGTTTGACACCTGTGGTATAGCGTTTCTTGCCGGAGCAGGGGGTTGGACTGGAAGACCTCTAAGGTCCCTTCCAACTCTTTTTCAATAATAATAATAATAATAATAATAATAATAATAATAATAATAATAATAATAATAATATCATCATCACCACCACCACCATCAACAATTGGAAATTCTTCAAATTATAAAATATAGGTAATAATTATGTGAACAGTGAATTATTAAGTAACAGTGGATTTTAAACATTTAAATTAAATTAAATTTAGGATAGTACTCTGTTTAGTTGTAAATTAATTGATAAGTAATTTAATAGTCTGTGCGAGTCAGTACAAATAGTCCTTGCTTAATGACCACTCATTCAATGAACTTTTAAAGTTATGACAATAACTTGTACATACCACCATCACAGTGTCCCCATGGCCACAGGATTTGAGCACTTGGTGACTGGCCTGCATTTCCAAATGTGCAGCATCCTGTGGTTACCTGATCACTATTTGCGACCTTCCCTGCCAGCTTCTGACAAGCAAAGTCAATGGGGAAGCTGGCAGGAAGTTATGAAATGCAGTTATGTAAAGTCCTTGCTTAACAACCTGTGTAGTTCTAGCTTAATGATCACTGTGAAAATGCTGTTGGAAGTCATCATGACTGCTCTGGCATTTCTGGTCCCAATTAAGGTCATTAAATGAAGCTTAAATGTTTATGTTCTTTATGTCAGAGAGCCTGATGTTTCCATTCTTTGGATTTTTAACATAAAACATAGAATGTTCCAAAATGTGGATGGGATGGACCTCAGTAATATATGGAATCTTTTCCCCCTCCAGCCTGTCCAAGTTGCAAATAACTACAGAAGATTTGGAGCCACAGTTATTCTCTCATCTCCGCCATCTCCAGGAACTTGATCTCTCTGACAATCTCTTAGAACGGCTTCCTGACAATCTCAGTTTGCCAAACCTCCGCATCCTAAATTGTAACAACAATCACTTGGAAGATGTGACAACCTTGCAGCAGTTTCCACAGCTGGAGGAGCTCACCTATACCAACAATGTATACCTGACAGTGAGTATATCTGGCAGCCAATAGAGGTTCTAGGCCTTGCAACTACTTCTTGGAGCACTGCTGTCCTCATATAGCCAAAGAGTTGCACTAAGAGCAAAAATTGTAATACCTTCATGTCCCAGAGTAAAGTAAATTCTGCTCATTTGGGGGCTGTTGAACATTCTCTAGTCTTGTCATATATCCTCAGTGAACATTATAATTCATTTAAGATAATTTGATGCTGCAGTTACTCATCATCTATTCATAACAGTCTTGCCATCACATTACCGAATTGTAGCTCAAAATGTAAAGAAAGCAAGAATTGGGATCTAGTATATTTGATTTCAAACATATAAAAGCGTATGCATTGCCTGAAAATACAGATCTTTAAATGCAAGCTTAACTCAGTCCTAACTGACTTTCAATTGCATTTGCTCAGATGCATTGCTTCTAAATATATGTCTAAGTTAAGGCGAAAAGTAGACCTCCCACATGCTTCCCCATTTCCTTTGGAAGAAGTGAAAGAAGAGAAGGGTTGAAATGTCCATTTCCAGCCTTCTCAGAATCCATTAACTTATTTTTGGGAAATATTATTTACTGATTTCAGCATGTAAATGAAGTTAAAACAGTTAAAACAACTACACACTTTCACCATTTTATAAGAACAGTTGCTATATTGCAGACATGTCAAACTCGCGACGTCGTGCGACGTCGCGCAACGTATCGGAACGGTTTTGCCATTGCCGGCAATGGGGTGGGCTGGCAGTTTGACACCCCTGCTATATTGTGTTCTTTAAAAAGACGGAGAATCTTTCAGAGAAAGTTTTGCAATATCTGCCACTAGCTAACCTGAGAGCCTTTATACTCATCAAATGAGTATACATTAAATGAGTATACATTTAAATAGATAATATATATAAACGTTTGATAGAAACAAGTTCTGAAAGATTTTGGTCGATTTTGTTATTTTTCATTTTTATTTATCAAATTTATTTGCTGCCAATCTCGCTGTTCAAGAGGCTCTTTGAATTCTGTAGAAAAAAAATGATCATTGAAACAAAAATCTTCATGGAGGAGAGTTTTTTTAAACCATCTCCTTTTAGATTGACCCTACCTTCTTAACAATCCTGAAATTTCTTCACTAAATAATTAATCAAGATTAATTGGATGATTGTAAATTCAGGATGCTGAATCTAAGATGCTCCAGACAGCAATAGATGGCAGTGTTGAGCTGAGCTGGACTGTAGGAGTTCCCACATGAAGATTTTGCTTTCAATAATTTTTTAAAAAACAAGGCTATTCTTTTTCTCTCTAGCCCAGTGATGATTATAAGGTAATATTTCTTTTGCAAAATCTCCGTCAGTTGAATGGCAAAGACATCACCAAGCTGGCCAATCATGTGAGAGTCGTCAACAGCCGAGAGCTGACTAATAGAGTAAGTGCTGAAATAATAATAATTTCTTAATAATCAAAAATTGTACAGCATTTTAAAAGATGTTAGAGGAAATTAGTGAAATGAAAGTGAATTCTTTTTTTATAAAACCTTGAAGCTTTTTAGTTGAAAAAGTGGTATAATAGTTTAGATTTAGATAAATATTTTGCTCATCAGTTTTGCAAAACTGAACTATAGCTTTGACTTTCTTATGCGTATTAGAACATCGCTGATCAGAAATATGTATAAAACAAATGAGCAATTTCCATTTTCTTTCCATGCCTATAAAAAGCTGGAAGCATGCTGGAAGGATAAGAAACAGGTTGACTACTTTTGGTGTCTCATTTTCATTTGGTGTGTTTATGCAACTAACAACGTAATTCTTTTGCATATCCATTTAGGTATAAATTTTAACCAGTACAGTAAAACTGAATGAATGTTAGTAAGAATTAGAATTGCAGCTTAATTCTCTTGTTCTCATGGCTGTTAAGAAAATGTTGGCTGGTGGATGTGATTTTATTAAAGCAGACTACCTTAAATCTTACTCTGATAAGATGAGAACAAGTTCAAATCTATGAAAAGTGTTTGTGTCGTTTTCATCATCTGACATCACTGATAAATCCAGAACCAAAATTTGTGACAAGAAGGAAGAAGAGCTTGCACAAAACTGCCTGTTCTAGTTGCTGTTTCATCTAGCTGCCTTCCACAAGTGCCTTCAAGCATATTCCTCCCTCTCTTGTATGTGAATTTATTTATTTGGAAAAATATTTTAATTTTTCCATTAACAGATCTAAAATGCAATGTTTCAACATTGAAATAAGAAGCTGCCAAAGAAATACGAAATGAATTAATGGACTTTATAAACAGTTAATTGTGATTGATTGATTTAGTGACTGATTTACTTAGTGGGTCTTTATTATTATTTATTTGAATAGTTTTATTCTTAGGATATCAATTGCTTTTATAATCAAAATACAATCACAATGTTTGGGAAAATGTTATAGAAACTTTGCCACACAAAAGCAATAGAACTGGCTGAGATGGCAAAATTGAGCACTTTGATGAAAAACAAAAATTTGTCTAGCTTTATTTCCATTTGGAAACCACTTTGGGACTTCTTGCTTGAAAAGAATAGAAATAAAACCCTGATTTTGGGATTTGATGACTAAATCTTTTTTTTATAGAAACATTGTGCATTGTTGTTGCTTTTGTTTGTTATGTATGCTTTACATGTTATGCTTTTATTTTTGTTTAAACTTAGAGCAAGACATTATTATTTATTTATATCTGTACTGAAGAAATTGGAAGTTTAGCTTTTTCTATTTTATAGTAAAAGTTTTATTACTTTTTTCTATCTTTTTTCTTTTCTTATTAAATTTTTAACTCTTTTTCATGCTTTTCTTTTTTTATAACTTTTTCTATTCTTTATTTTATCTGAAATTCAGTAGAGGGATATTTTTTTTAAATCAGCGGTCCCCAACCTTTTGGGTACCCGGGACCGGTTCCGTGGAGAGAGGTTTTTCCATGGACCAGAAGGGCATGGTTTTGTGTGCTGCCTGCATCCTGCAGATGGGGCTTTGCTTGTTTGTGTGGCCTGGTTGCTGGCTTGCCGCAGTCCAGTACTGGTCCACGGATTGGGGGTTGGGGACCCCTGCATTAGATTAATATGGAGCTAGAAAAAGCCCTATTTTCTGAGGTATCTATGGATGAGGTCAATAAAGTCAAAATGGTGCCTACAACTGTATGATTGAAAGCCCGTTGCATTTTAAGATATGGAACATCCACAATGCACATTTAGAAAAAAAGGGAATCTTGATCATATGGTTGTAGTTGCTGTCTTAATTTTTTTTTTAACTCCCTGTGGATGCTCCTATCTATTTCTTTCTTGTTACCTCATCTGCTGGACAGTTTGAACAGAGTGTTAGCTAAAAATCTCTAATATTATATCATGGAAAGTTTTGTATAGGACAGGGGTAGGCAACCTTGGCTCTTTTATGACTCGTGGATGTCAACTCCCAGAATTCCTGAGCCAGCATGGCTGGCTCAGGAATTCTGGGAGTTGACGTCCATGAGTCATAAAAGAGCCAAGGTTGCCTACTCCTGGTATAGGACCATGTATGGCTTCCCAGGCCACTTCATTATAGTTCTCCCTTTTTTCTAGGTCTCTGCTCATTGGGGGAAAAATTTTCGGAACCAGATGTCTAAAACACTGTCTCCTGAACAACTGAAGCCAATTAGAAAAAAGTTCATCAAGTCTGCACAAGCTCATGTAGCATATGGTCCCAGCTCACTCAGCGATTACACACGTTGGAGGGTAAGTTCAGACTATGAATTGTTTGCAGTCTTGTCATGTGGATTGTAATGTAGAATTTTGGTCAGCAGGTGACATTTGGAAAAAGAAAATAGGGTAATTCTCAGCTTGATTGAACCAGCTTGGATGATTAGCAGCGTTTTCTGAACAGTGATACAACTTTAAGATGTATACACTTTAACTGTAGGGAATTCTTGGAATTGAAGTCTACATGTCTTAAAGTTGTTGAGGTTGAGAGGCATAGTTCTAAATTCCTTTCCTATGATAACAATTTGGCAAGTCTGTATTCTTTTATTGTAGGTGAAAATGATTGCTGAGGAATTCCTGACTTCCTTGATTAATGAGGAACATAAGCCTGCTACAGAAGCAGCGGAATCAATGGAGGAGCCAGAGGAGGAGGAGGAGGAGGAAGAAGAAGAGAAAGAAGAGGAGGGAGAAGAAGAGAAAGAAGAAATTAAAAAAAATACCACGGATGCTGACAATAAAGTTACTGCTAAGGTCAGAACTCAAGAGATTTCTTTGATGGTCCACCTCAGTCAAATTCAGAAGTCTTCCATTGTTAGTTCTAGATGAGAATATGTTGCCTCAAATGGAATTGATATAGAATTTGGGAGATTTCCTGTCCATGAACCATTTAAACCATTTTTGCCCAATGCAAGCAGTACAATAAAATATCCCCTCTTTTAATGCCCTCTTTTAATAATATTTCCATCATTCAGCAAGCAATCCCTATCAAACACAGAGAAAACTGTTGGGAAGTATTGCTTCACACATTATGCTGAACCACTCTGTTAGAAAGCATGGCTTAATGCAATAAGTGAAGCTAATCTGTATGTCTTATGCCAGGAAAGGACTTTGTGCATACTTTAGCACGGAGGATTCATTCTGGGAGGAAGGCGTAGCACTCTTTGTTCAGTGCTTTGTAAGAGAAATAGTTTTGCAATCACCAAAATGGAATTTTACACCAAAATGGAATGGCTAGAGAGAGGCTCCCCCAGGATGGTGGCCTCCAGCATGAGTCCAAAAGCTCAGAGGACAAAACCTCTGGTCCTGGTGACCGACTCAGTTTGGATCCATAGAATTTTATTATTTGTTTATCAAATTTTAAAACCACCCATCTCCCTCACAGAGAGACTCTGGGCAAGTACAGATAAAATATCAAATCATAAAGACAATAAATAAAATTTAAAATTTAAAAAGGCAAGAATGAATTAAGAATCTGTGAAAGTTAGTTAAAAGGTAGGGGGAAGGATTTTTTGAGTACTAGCCAACCTCACAAGTGTGGGCTCCTATGCAAGCCCTAAATAAAGCCGCAGAGCCATGTTTTTACTTATTTCTGGAAGGCCAGGAGAATGGAGCCCCCTCACCTCCAGGGGGAGGATGTTCTACAGACTGGGGATAATGGCAGAGAAGGCTCTCTTCCTGGATCCCCCAGTTGGATTTTTTTAACTGACAAGTCTACAACATACCCTCCCTGCCTCACTGGATGGGACAGGTAGATCTAATGGAACAAAGATGGTTCTAAAGACAATCTGGCCCATGCCGCATAGGGCTTTAAAGGTCATAACCTTGAACTGGACCCTGAAGTAAACCTGGCACCCAGTCCAGCTTGTGCAGAACCAGGCACTGTTCTCCGGTGCCTAAGATTGCCTGTGCAGCCGCATTCTATATCATCTGAAACTCCTGGATACTTTTTGAGGCTAGCCTCATACTGCAACAGGCTAGTGGATTATGAATGGAGTATTTTCCATTAATTTCTGTAGGAAAAGTATCAGTGGATGTTGCTCTCTCAGACGTGAGAATAATGTTCATCTTATTGGGGACATTGTAGATCTAAGCAGAAATCCAGGCAAATTTCTGTTGCACAACCTTCCACAATTGAGATTACTTTGACAACATTATGTTGAACGTTGCTGATCTTTGTCTTTAATAGGGCCAAGTAACTCCCAGCAAAAGGAAAGGGGCTCGTTCCAAAGGAAGGGCAAAGAGCAAGAGATCCCATTCCCAAAGCAGCTCCAAGGAAGAAGCATCACCCAGCCCCAAGAAGCTTAGCCGCTTGCAGGATGAGCGCAGTACTGAGGCCACAAGAGTCTCTCGCCCACAGGCCAAGGAATCCCAGACCCCTCCGGATTCTGATGGAGCCCATCGGAATGGAGGGCGGCTTCCAAAAGGACAAAGCCACAAAAAAGTCACTCAGCAGAAAGAAGAGCACAAAGAGGAAGAGGAGGATGCTTGCAGCACCCCGGTGAAGGACTTGGAATGCGAGGTAACACATTTCCTTCCGCTGTCAAAGATATATACAATATATAAACTCTGAGAGTCAGTTGGATACTTACATAATGATTTGGCAAAGGGATACTTTAAAGAGCTTGATTTTAAAACCTGGCTGTAGATTTTAACTCCATCCAAAATCCTTTGTTCTGTTCCTTGTACAATGGGACATTTTGTGTTCAAAGCTTTCTGCCTTCTTACAGGAGACAATCACCCTGGAACCGGTCCATTTTCTACAGTGTCACAGTAAGGCCAACAACAGGGATGACTTCAAGACTCAGTTATGGGCCTGTGTTTTTGAACCACCACTAGATTGTGGGACGAGAAAAGGTGAGCATACTCAAGTGGCTGGGCTGTCCTAGAAGAAAAATGCCAGTCAATATATCTGATGACAGTGTTCTCCAGGAATTCACATTCTTCTTGTGTTTCTGAATTTTTATGCACATTGTTCCATATTTTTTATGTGTTTGCTTTCTCCAGCAAGTTGCTTATTTATATTACAAATAATTCAAGGTATACCAGTAGTAAAGAAGTTCCAATTTTAACATGTGGTGATCATACTGTGCCCATTCCTAATTTAAAATGCAGAGACAGGAGAGAATGAGGACTTAAAGTCTTTTTGCAAAGGACCTTATCCTACGGTTATATATCTGGGGAAATTTACTCTTGCAGTACAGGTAGTCTCATTTAATGACCACAATTGGGATTGGCAACTCCATTGCTAATAACAGTCATTAAATGAGTTATCATCTGACTGTGACTTGTGATTTCACTGTGAGCTTCTCTATTGACTGTGCTTGTCAAAAGCTGGTTGTGAAGCATGTAAAGGGCAACTATTTGAACATGGCACACCATGACAGTCGTAAATGCATACTTGTTACAAAGCGCTTGAATCATGTGACCATGGAGATGCTGTGTGGGTTGTAAATGTGAAGACTGGTTATAAAGTTACTTTTTTTTTTAGTGCTGTCATACCTTCACACAGTCACTAAACAGGGCAGTCATTAAGCAAAGTCTACCTATATGAAGAAGAAACTGTGGTCTACTAACTTGAGTGTAGTAATCCTTGATTCACACTTACAAAAAGTATTATATAGATAATAGATATGGAATATACAGTACATTGTAAGTACAGTATTTAAATACTTGTTCCACTTCTATAGCAATTGAATGTCTAGTCCAGGGGTAGTCAAATGAAAACAGGAGACTTATGATGTCCACAGGATTACAGTCATTGTGCTTTTATCTTTCAGACCCTGTGGTGAGCTCCTCTAGGACAGCAGCTACCTGTGGCGGAGATTCTGTTTGTTTGGTTGACTGTGAAACAGGCATTGTTTTGAAAAAGTACAAAGTGACAGGGGAGGTAAAGGAAACGCAATTGCTCTTGACTTTCTGGTTTTATTTAGTGGGACATTGACATTAGTGCTGTGATGTCTCCTATTGCACCCCATGACTTAATACTGGTGCTGTGTCGAAGTCTGTTCTTCAAAATACCTGTATTCTAAAACTATAAATCTTTCCGTTACATTGAAATTTGTCAGGGGAAGTCATCATAAGAGTGGCAGGATTCTGCTAAATTATAATCAGAAAATTTAATTTGCTTTCAGGGTTATTAATGCTCACTCTTCTAAATGCCTTAAAATCATGAGAAAATACATTTTTTTCTTGTTTATCATTAAATCTTACATTAATTTTATTAAAATGTAATATACACTGCCATCTCATAATTTGCTTACCTTTTTAGATGTTTAGCTTTAGGTGAATGAATAATCAACATTGCAGCACATTGTGGCTCATATTAACCATAACTTTAGAATTGAAACCAAGCATCTCAATGATGTGTTCAACAATTCTGGTTTCTTGTGGTAGAAAAGCGTAGCTCTTGAGGTAGATAGAATTGGAGGTTTAGTGGTGGATTTTCTTCTCAAGCCTTACTCTCAGACCACAAGGATGAAGTTGACAGGAAAGAGCTCATTTCTTCTACGAGAATGAAGCCTATTAGGTTTTTGTTGTTGTTAGATATGCTCGGTATGAAATGAACATGCACTAAAATCAGTACAGTGAAAATAAAAGTGGCCTTTTTTATTTCTTTAAAAAGATTTTTAAGGCTATCCAACTCAACCTGTAATTTCAGATGTCATGTAGCAATAAACAATTTAAATATTCCTAATAACAAAACAATCAGAAATCAGCAAGACATAGAATCAGGCACACTAGCATGTACTATACTTTGTAGTACAAACTTATTTTACACCCAGTGGCAGCAAGAACAGCCCTTCAAGATTTCCTGATGGCTAACATGGTTGAAGCCTGTCAAATCTCATAAATCTCATTTTTAAAATTTATTTTATTTTATTATATTTAAATATCTGCCAATCCCACAAAATATGATTTTGAACAGTGACAGATTTATACAAAAGATAGCAGTTAAAACAAGAAAGAGAAAATTTTTTTTTACACCTCTGCTTAGTTTCTGCATCTTTTGTTGTTCGTCCATCGATTTTGATGAAGACCTTGACATCTTATGGCAGTGTTTCTCAACCTTGACAATTTTAAGGCATGTGGACTTCAACTTCCAGAATTCCACAGCCAGCATTGCTGGCTGTGGAATTCTGGGAGTTGAAGTCCACATGCCTTAAAATTGTCCAGGTTGAGAAACACTGTCTTATGGATTATGGGCCATCAGCGGTGTGTCTGTAGATGGCTGATGAGACCGATGTTAGCACGGAATGTTCTGCCACATACTGAACAGAGAAATGTGGACACTGTTGCTTCAGCATTTGCAGCTCTGGCTTTACGGAGTGCTCGCTTCTCTTGTGCCAAGATTGTCCTTCTGTGTTCATATGTCTGGCAACCCTGGTAAACCAGGGTACGCCATGTCGGTCGATCATGCGCCAAAGATTCCCAAGAGATGGTGTCGATATCCAGGGACTTGAGAGATGCTTTCAGCGTGTCTTTGTATCGCTTCTTTTGTCCCCCGTGCGATCGCTTTCCTTGAGACAGCTCACCATAGATGCGCTGGGCAGGCCACGTTGTAAGGATGCCAGACCATTGCATCCCTAAACAGCTCTTCTATGGTGAGCTGTCTAAACAGTTCTGCATCTAGTGCCACATTCAAATGGCAGATTTAGTAGGACTTGGAGTAACTATCAGTAGCAGCATAATATTTGCAAATGAGTGAATGAATGAATGAATGAATGATCACCAAAAAACAATGCATGTATGTCATCACAAACATACGACTTTTGTCCCAACTTTTGGCACAAATATATGTCACATATTTGCACTATGATGTTTTCACCTGTTTTGATATTCCCTCCTGGAGAAGCTCAGGGCTGAAAGATGATCCAGGAGCAACTTTAAAAAGCGAGTGCAAGTAAACTGTGATGCCTTCCCCTTACAAATTCAGTGCAGTTTTTAACAGGTTTGTATATAAGTTAGAATGTTTGGACTTACAGGGGGAAAAATAGCAAACTGAAGATAGCTCCACTAAAGGTGGACAATGGCGGAATAAAGAATTGGCAAGTAGACTGGCTCTTCATAATTCCTCTCTGGATAAGGAGAGGACTTGTAATCGGCCACAAGTGCTCCAGATAGTTGCTCCTTGGGAAAAGACTGCAAAATAGCAGTCTTTGGAGAGTTTAGAGCTCTAGGTGATGAGGGAATAACCATCTTGCTCAAATGATGGTTGATGGCTTTGAAAGGTTACTAAATTCACATACTTCATTTTCTAATCATTTTCAGAAATTTCTTGTTAACTGCTTCAACTGTTAGGAACCTTTTTTTGCATAGACGCGTCTGAAAACATTAGATAAGTTTCCTTCAATCCTTAGTGAAAGACATTTAAAATACAAGTTTAAGGATTTTTTTAAAAAAAATGTTTTTTAATAAACAGCAAAAGGTTGGTTAGAACTTTACTTTTGGTAAGTTACAAATGGAATAATAATAATAATAATAATAATAATAATAATAATAATAATAATAATTTAATTTATATACCGCCCTTCTCCCGCAGGACTCAGGGCGGTGCACAGCATATTAAAACAAGTACAGATACAAAATACAAAAAATTATAAACCCCTATAAAACCAAATTAAAAACCAAATATTAGAAGCTGTATTTCCTATTAAAATTATTCTTAAAATCATCCCTAAATAAAATCCTCCCTAGGTCAGGCCCGCTTGCTGGAAAAGCCATGTCTTGAGGGCGCGGCGGAAAGTAAGGAGATCCGGAATCGTCCGGATCTCGGGGGGTAGTTCGTTCCAGAATAAAGATACAGTTATAGAACTAATTAAAATATTTTAACATTGGGCATATTAAAGGATATGCTTGAACAATGGACTCAAGCATCTGCCTTTAGACCATGTTAGAAAGACATTGTTGAAGAAGCAAGTTCTCCATGACAAGACTGAGGCCAAGTTGAAAGTGGATTTCTACAAGAATGAAATGGAAAAAGATGCTGCAGTGCACATACACCTGATATCTTTATAATTAAAAGGAATATACATATAACAAACCAAGAGATACCTGGATATACAAGTCTGGATAATTTCCCTATATTGGATTTGCAAAAGAGGCTAGTTAAAGCTTTGAAGAATTTTGTGGGATGGGACAAAGTAAAAAGGAAAAGAAATCAAGTTCTAGGACATTATTTAAGGGGATTAAAGATCAACATTATACCAGGACTGAAATGGCTATAAAGAGATAAGATGTAGGAAAAAGAAATTATTTATTGCACAGTATTTTAAGAGAAGATAATGTACTAAAATTGTTTATATGTGTTATGAAGGGAGAAATCATTTATTTGTATATTTCTTTTCCTTTAGTACATTCTTAGTTTGCTTTCTTTTTTTTATTTTTTTATTTTTCCGGCACTTCTATTTTTTCTTTTTCTTTTCGGTTTAGTTTTTTTAATCATTGTAAAGGCAATTTTTCACAAACTATAATTAAAAGGATTGTTTGGTGCCCTTGATTGTTTTTATCCAAGTCCACCCAAACTTCTAGTCATGCATGGCTTCTTGTTCACCCGATACCTTGCCTTTTTCACCAGGAGTTTTACACTGTCACATGGACAACTCTGACAATGGTAACAAGTGATGGGAGAAAGAAAAAACACAATGTTTTGGCGGCGGCTGGGAGAAGAGGAATCGTAAAGCTAATTCATGTGACTGCTGATTATTGTTATGGAGAAATCAAGGCTCACAAGAAACCCATTGCTACTGCTTGCTTTAGTCCAACCTGTGAAACGCACCTTTTCAGTAAGACCCTTTTATCCTCTCCAATTCCATCTGTTCTGAGTCAAGGAAAGAGCAGGCTGCCTTGTTTGGTCTGTGAGTACAAAGATAACAAGCTAAATCTCATGTTATCTTTGGAACTAGCTGCAATATTTTGGTGTTCTGAGTTTGAAGGAGATGGGTCTTATTTTCCTAATTTGTTACGAAGACAAGTTTTTCTAATTTGTTATTTGGAAGCCTATATTTTTATTTCATTACATCTCTTCTTCTTGTCTGTTCTCTATTTCCCAACAGCTGCGTCCTATGACAAAAAAATATGTGCATGGGATATTGGGATTCCAGATTGTGATTATAATTTCAAAGAAAGGTAAATGATACAGGATTCCAACTTTCACATCTGCAAAGGGATGTTTGCATTAATAGAAGAACTGAAACGTGTTTCATTTGTCAGGCAGCTGATGGTACTGGAGACCATTTCCACACCTTTACGTATTGCCCTAGTGCCCTCTTGCCCAGATCGGTTCTTGGTGGCTGGTTGCGAACAAGGCTGCTTTGCCTGGGATATTAGACTTGATGATAAGCCACAGAAAAACAGGCGAGTAGATGGTGTCTTCCTGGGAAAAATTTATTCTGTGGGCTGCTAAAAGTTGATACCAATTTTATCGCATGTAATCAGCTCATGCCTCATATTGGAAAGATAAATTACAAATAGTCCATGAATTACAACTGTAATCAAACCTGACAATTGTAGTAACAAATTGACAGTCATAAAGCTTGTTATCATATGACCAAACCTGATCTCATGACCTTTTCTGTGACAGTTGTTAAGCAAACGTGGCAGCCATAAAGTGGACCCATTGTTCGCTATGGAGCATTCCAGTGTTTAGTGGTTGTAATTCAGGTAATTCATCAAAAGAAAAGTACACCTCCTTTTTGCCCATTCTATGTAAACAATTGGCAATTGTTTTGATAAGGGATCTCTTTGATATCAAACTGCCCTTTACAGGATGTTTTAGCTGAGCAAAATATTTTTAAAAAGGCAAAAATAAAAAAGAGAACTTAAAAATGAAATTGAATTTTAAAATTGGAGTTGGAAAAAATAAATAACATTTTTTTTCAGAGAACTCTAAAAACTTCATTATTTTGTTACTTCTGCAACCCGTCTGTGGCTTGGGGTCTGAATGGAAAACAAGTTACAATATAATTCTGACTTGTAGTTAGTTATGCCAAATTTAATGATTTCTAAATTCTCCTTACATGCAAAAACGATTGTCCAGAAATGCTAATGTCACATGAATGTTTCCAGTTTTCTACTGTTTTTCTATCAATGGTTCTTCAAGTCTTTTTCTTCATTTAAATTAATGGTTTATCTAATTAGAGATTCATGGATTGATCGAGTGTTCAACCACTGAACTGTGGTCCCAGTTCTGTCAAGATTTACAGTGCAAACAACTACAGCCTATTTTGAAGATGTCCACCTGTTATAAAGGATTAAAACCAATATCTTTAATATTAGAGCATTTGATTACTATAGGTTAAAATTACAATAATTGCTCAATAGATTGGTTCTTTATTTTATTCTCTAACATTTCAGAGCTTTTGAAGTTGAATTTCAGTTTCCAGATGATGAAGGGAATGACACGTCTTCTCACCGGGTGGATGGCCTAGCCTTTCTGAATGAAGACATTGTGGGTAAGAAATAAGCATTATGATATGTCTAAGTAAATTAGGGAAATTTATTAGAGCATCCTTTCTTTTTTTTTGCATGATTAATTTATACAAAGAGCTGGTCCCAGGCAAAACAGTAACACATATTTTCAAAATATCTTTTGGCTTAACATGCACATTTAGAAAACCGGTTGGAAGAGGATGAAATGGAAAAACTAAGAGATTAGTATTCCCTCTGAGCTGCTGACCTTGAGTGTAAAGTCAGAATGCTGACTCCCGCATCTACATTTACAAAGATAACCAATAGAGAAGGGAAATATTACAATTTTCAGTCTGTTTTTATAAAGAGAATAAGGATGCTTTGTCTAAACAAGGCTTGCATGGGGTTTTTTCCAGGGTGTTTCATGCTTAGTCCAAACATAGAAAATTCTAAAGTCCTTACTATCCATTAGAACTCTTCTATCTTGGTATGTTTTAATTTAGAATAATAAATGATACATGACAGGAACCTATTATTTTATGCCATACACCAGGGTTCCCCAACCGTGGGAATTTCTAGGAGTGTGGACTTCAACTCCCAGAATTGTCATCAGTAGTCATGGAATTCTGGAAGTTGACGTCCACACTCCTGGAAATTCCCAAAGTTGGAAAACACTGCTATATGCACATTGAATCAAATCCACTGAATTAAATTAATTGATGTCAGAGGTATTTTACAGGATGTGTTGTAAGCTATAAGCGTATGGGTATAGCTGTATTATTAGGGGCTTTATTCTAAGTTCACACCATAATTGCCAGAAAATAAATGTTGTGATGCCATTGATTGATACCACACATTTCACTGAGCCTTCCGTGATAATTGCCTTAATGGCAATTGCCTTAAACAGTAGGAAGTAATGCTGATCTAGCAGCAGACCCATTGTTTAGCAAGGGTACTAGTTTTTTTCTTTTTCCTCTTCAGTTACCAAGAGTTCAAAGAGAGCATCTATAAACCTCTGGAGCTGGAGTCGCTCTTTCAAACAAGGCAAAGGTGGGCGGAGGACAGTGCAGGCTGTCATTCTGGCTGAACTGGAATGGTCTTCAACAGATCTTCCTTACCTCACCCTCAGCACATGCCCAAGTAAGTGCTGGTATCATGTCTGAATAGCCATGGATATAGTTCCATTCAAGTCTCTGGCACAAACATGTCCTCTGCCACCATTTTAGTCTATCATAGCTGCTATTGCTTCGTCCCTTCAGATAAGCTTGAACAGTCGGGCTGGCGATTTGGGAATGCTGTTAAGTAGTAACAGATGGTCATCAGTGTGCTGTATTTTATGAAATGCTGCAGTTCCAGATTAATACAGGCTTACCTTTGGGAAGTAGATTTTGTTAGTTCCCTGGTTTCAATCCCCAACGTGTCAGGACCTCAGACAAGCATTGGGGGAGAGGTGGAGGAAGGGTATAGTTGGTAGGTGGGGTAGATGCTGGTAAGTGAACTGAGAAGGAACTCCCAGCAATATGAGTTTCAGATAGGGAATTCAAGCCTGCCCTAGAAGCATTTGAACAATTTGGTGATACTTGTTTCACTTTTGCAGCAGAAGAATATGTGTTCTGTGGTGATGAGAAAGGAAGCATCTGGATGTATGACCTCAGCAACCATTTGTCAGCTCTTTGTGCCACCAAGGAAGATTGTCCAACCGAGCGAATAGGGCCTTCCCAGGTATTGAAGGATGTAGAGTCTAGGTCACATCAAACACAACCTGGCATCGATTTACAATGTGCACTAAAATAATATTGCATTATTTAAACTGGTACTAATCATGATCTCCATGTCTCAGTAGGCTTTATCTCCTTAGCCACCAGTCCTAACATTCAGGCTTCATCAGCTGCTGATCCTGCCACCCCAAAGCAGCAACATTTATCTACAGTACAGTGTGATATACTTCATTTAGCTGAAAGAATGATGATCCTCTAAACATAAAAAATCCCCCCCCTCTGAAAGAAAATTAAACTCATTCCCTGTACAGCTTTTCCCAATGAATTAGAGGGTATAGGAGAAGAAAAGGCAGGTGGAGGTGGAGTCAAGAGAGGTCTCAGCCTAGAATCATTATGTCTATAAACATTCCAAATCCAACCCCCCTCCTTGAATTCTGTTGACTCATAACTAGCACCAATTTAGCGCTGACCATCAATTGAGTAGATTCTTATACATAGGCATGTGCAATACATCTTAACTGGAACTTAATATATGGTCCTGATTCTTTGCACCTGACAGAGGGATGGGTATGAGAAGATCTCAGCACAGGGATGTATTTCAGGTTAAATCAAGAACAGTGTTTGTCAACCTTATTAGTTTTAAGATGTGTGGACTTCCAACTCCCTGAATCCCCCAGCCAACGTGCGGAGATTGACAAACCTTTATGTGTCCATACATATAAAATTGACAAACCTTTATGTGTCCATACATATTAATATAGAGAAAACTCTTAGCTTTTGAGAAATATCCATTGCAATTTTAAAGAAAATGTGTAAAAGGCAAGGATAAAAGGTCCAAAAAGATAACCTTCAGAATTACAAATCAGAAGGCTGAGACTCGGAACTAAGTAGCAGAACAAGAGTCACATACTGTAACTGATTTGCCAAATATAAATATTCTTACAATGGTTAACACTTCAGATCCCTTAAGGCTTGCTTAATCCATTCTAGCCGGGAAAGGAGATTCTGTTTCTTACTCCATCAGAAATACAATTGGCAAACATGGAGGAAAGCATCTTATCTCTTCAGTTTAGGACACTCTCTGCCCCAGGGAACCTATATGAAAACAGAAATCCTTATTCTACCAGATCTGTAGCATTACTGAGCTTTGTATTCTCTTGATTCCTTCATTGGCCTTTTAAGTATTATGATCTGGTGTTATATTTTATTATTTAGCTTTACATTAATTTTCCTTCAGAGTTTTGTACAGAGGACTTGAATATTTCCTGCATATTACAGTAATTGACTTGGCTTGCTTTTGTGTGAATCTTTCTGTAGCTAAAATTGCATTAATCCATCAAATGGCATATTCCGGCTCAGAGAAACTTCCCAAAAACAAAAGGAGAAAGAAATTTTTGAGAACCATCCAAGTGGGCAAGATTTTTTTAAAGGCTTATTTAAACTGGATTAACACTACAGCCCTCTGTAAGCAGTTTACAGATAGAGAATATGTTTAAAAATTGCATAGCTGATGTCCTGAACTTTTTGTAGTGCAATAAAATAACTTTGTGAATTTCATTGAGTTTCTGGATAAATCCACTCTCTTTTTCCCCACATAGATTCTAAAGTGGCCGGAATTGAAGGCAAATGGCGAGTTGCTGACAGATGTCTTGGTGAATAACGTGGTCACAGATCCCACTTTCACATATCTAGTCGCGCTGACAGATGTCAACATTGCCGCAATATGGAAGAAAGTCTAGCCGTGTTGGCAACCCAGGAGCAACCCCATTTTTTCAACCCCATTTCAGTAGTGCAGTATTTGTGACTGTTCTGAGAATAATCGGGTGGGAATAGGGATAGGGACGGGCATTGATGGGATGAAATTCATATATATAGATATATATATAGATATATCTCAACGCAAGAAAATCAACCAAAGGTATTGGCTGGAACTATATGATGTTGCCAATGCCGACATCTCTTAACTGTGACTTTGCTTTATTGGTGTCTTAAGTGTATTTGTTTTATAGGACAGTATTTAATAAAACTTGATACAACATAATTGAAGCACTTTTTTAAAAATACGTTAAATATATTTACTTAAGCCCCTATCTTGAAGGATCTTGGGGAAAGCTACCTATCCAAGTTTGCACTGTGCGGGCAAGACTGTTGAACTCAGTGAAAAGAAATACTCCTGATTTAATTGTAAAGTAGCATGGACTGGTATGTACAAGGATAATTTCATTCTGGCAAGTACCATAAAGAAAGATTCCGCTTAGCTCAAACTGCAAAAAGGGATAAACATGAGAACCTTGAGTAAAACTATTATTTCATAAGGTGAGGACATAAGTAAAATTTTAAATTCATAATTAATTCTTCATAATCTGACTCTTGGCGTAATTAACTTTGCCTACTTGGCCTACTCTTAGGGAATAATAGCTGTTCTGCAATGCATTCCCTACTCCTTCCTGATATATACAGTTGCCTCTGGGGACAACCTGAGGCTCAGAAAATATGTGCTTGGGAAAGCATATTGAGTCAACTTAGAGTGGCTACCAAGAAAGGAGGCTAAACCACCAACATTTTTTAAAAAAAGTGATGGAATATTTTGTCATCCTGCCCTCATTTGCAGAACATAATCAGTACTACTATCTAAACTGGAGAAGGGCACCTTATTTTCAATGTAGCTGTTTAATTTGGATGACTGGGTGATTTTTCTTGTGGGGAAGGGTTCTGAGTAGATACATTTCCCCTCAGCAATCACCATTTTCTTGTAAGTTTTGCTTTCCTTCAACAGAAAGGAAAGTGGTAAGTGCAAGAATTAAATATACATAAACTTGAGCCAGCAATAGAAGGAAAAAAATCCTAAGCCTCGTTCAGTTCAGAGCTGCATAAAGAGCGAATCTCTGGTGCTGCATGTAGTATAGAATGCTACATTTTAAAAGATGTTCAGCAAACTAGAGTACATGATGGAGGCAATTAGAATACTTGCCTTTCTCCAACCACTCAAAGCAATATAGGATTTAATTCAAGAGAGTTATTCTCTGCCAGTACTGAAACTGAAAACTACCCCATTCTTTAGTTAAAACTTCAGTAGGATATTGTACATAGACATACAGTTTGCCTGCATAATTTTTAAAAAGTAGTATCTTAGCAGAAAGGCAAGGAAGAATTATATCATGGCACATTTTGAGAAAGCAGAGTAAAAACAACTATGCATCCAAAAGAAAATCAAGAGGTATTTCTAACTGAAATGGAAAGCACGCTGTATATTAATGTCAGTTTTAAGTTAGAGGAGGGAATTTCAACAACTATTTTATCATGTTTTTGCTGAAGGTATGAATCACTTCTAAAGAGAGCAACAATTAAAAGTATACTTTATTAACCATCACATAAGCCAACTTGAACTTTCATGTAAAAGACCTATATTGAAATTTCTTAGAGGTTATGAAGTAGCAAAGTGATCATAAATACATTTCTTGTAGACTACTACACTGAAAAATGGATTTTATTTACAAATATATTTGATAAACGTAACTACTATTCAATTCCTTCTTGTTTGTCTTTGATGGCAACCTAAGAGAAAAACAAACACATGGTAACTGAAAAGTAAAAATAAATAAATAAAAATCTTGACAATTTCATTTGAGGTCTGATTATAAAAGTAATAAAGTAAGTTTCTCTTGTTGCAGAAAGGAGCAGCCATTATCCCAAGTCTATCTGAACATCAAAACAGATGAGCTAAACCTAACCAGACCAAATGCACTTATTTATTTATATCCCACCTTTATTATTTTTTTTACAAATAACTCAAAGCCATTTAATTATCCACCATCGTTAACGGCACGTTGGTGAAATTATCAAAGAAGCTACAACATTTTCTTATACTTGTGATTTTTCTCATTCTTGGCAGAAAACCAAGCCCCTGAAAAGTCAACAAAGCTGCTTAAAATGCCATCTTTCTTTCTCTGTACCTAATTATTCAATGGGAAGCCCCATTGCTACTAGGAACACAATTTGATGGAAATGTCACAAAGGATATTTTCTCTGCCACAGAAGATCCACGCATTGATTTTTGATGATGTTTGACAACTATGCGACTTTATTGCCCAGAACTCACATATCAGAGGTGGGAATAGATAATGGATCTTGGAGCCTACTCAGATCAAAAAGTATTAACAGGCAATTTTCTTGCTTTCTTATTCTCTAACAACTACATACTTAAATCTCTTATGAGTGATAATTCCCAGATTCTGCCTCCCCAGGAGGCTTAACCTGCCTCAATCTAAAGTTTCAATTTTCAGCATCAAAATCCATCTTGCTATAAGGCAGACATGTCAAACACTAGGCCCGGGGGCCGGATGTGGCCCGCAAAGTGGTTTCATGTGGTCCGCGAAGCCATCCTGGAAACAGTGAGGGAACAGCCCCCGCTGCCTTGGCCCGGGCCAGCTGGGAGCCAATGTACAATTTTGTGGTGGCCATCTTGGCACTTTCCCCGGTCCCACCCCCTTCTGCCAGAGACCCTCAGATCTGTCCCACTCCTGCCCAGGCCCCCATAGGCACCCTTGATACGAATGATGTAGAACTGGCCACGCCCACCCAGTACGCCACACCCACTCCATCCACACCCACCCAGTAGGCTGCACCCACTCTGGCCACACCCACCCGCCCCTCCCAGGGCAACCACAATGCTGATGCAGCCCTCAGTGAAATTGAGTTTGACACCCCTGCTATAAGGGAAGCTGCATAATTAAAGCACCCAATGAAACTTAAGTATTTAACAGAGCTGAAATATCTCACCTAATTCACAGACATAGCTTTAGGTTTTATCATTCTGCCTTTGGCAAGCAGCCCTTTGCCCCCAAAATCATACGATTGTTAGGATCTGCTGACTTACCCGGAATCTCTCCTCAAGAAGAGAAAGCTCACTGATGAGATCTGTGATTGCATTGGTAAAAGCTTCTTGGGGGCTGTAATCGGGGGTTGTCTGAACACGAATGATTATTTTATGTTCAAGGGGATGGGGGACTTTGTATCCTGCAAATAACACTTGAGGATCTTTCAACAACTGCCTGGGGAAAAACAAACAAAATTTTATTGTTAAAATTATAACTCTGAAGCTGGATGACTAAGGGCCAATCAATCTAGTGGTTCATTTCCAAGACAGCTGTTGGAACTATACAATAAGAATGCAAAGAGAATATGTTTCTTGTTGCTCATTTTTAACAACTAGAAAAAAAAAGTTTCTGTTTTGGTAACTATGACCAATGGCAATTCTCTTTTCTACATATTATATACACTGTGTGTATGTTTGCACTGAGCACTGACTCTCTTGTAGCCAAAATAGCTCCACCCATTCATTAGGAAAAGAACCTACCAGTACTGAAAGACCCCAATAATTTACAAGGTTCTTCAAAATTTCAGGGGGGGGGGGAAATCCATTAGAAAAGAGAAACAAAACCAACCAATAAGGTTATATTCAGAGCGATGATTAAACACGGAAAGTTTTAGCATATTGTGGAACAGAGAATTCAGAAAAGGAAATTAAGCTAAGGGGAAGTTTAAATATATATGTCCTTCACTGTGTTGTAGATTTAAATTACACCACCTCTCCACATGGTCTGTATACGTTCTGGAGTTTTACAAGTAGATTTGGTAGGGATACTGAAAACTTCATTATTATTTCTGCGTTTTCTTGGCAGTTGACCAATTTAATTGCATTCTTAAATCAACTCATTTTGTAAGAACAAGAATCATTGCTACTCACGACTTAATTATATTCCCAAGAGTGTGATCTTCTTTGTTGATTGTAAACAGGCAAGCATTTGGCACTTTTGTGTCCTTATTTATTGTAATCCTTCAATGAGAAAGACCAGGAGAAAAAAAGAGAGGTGTGGATCATATTAACACCAGCTTGTGCAGTCTTCTTATAATCATGCAACAATGTTACAACTGTTTTATGTAAACCTAGATTATGTTAATCCAGCCTAACTAATCCATGAAATAGTTCATGCTAACAGTTCACAACTTTCAAGGATTCTGATAGGAACTTTTGAAAACCTGCATAATAGTCACAAACACGGTCCTTTTCAATGGAAAACCTAATTCTAACCCTCTCTTTACTATAAATACATAAAGCTACCTTGACACAAAGTTTAAGATGTTTTACAAGGCCATTTCAGAATGGAAGCAGCATTTACAGCTGTCAAAAATCTTTTAATCATTAGATACATATTTATTTTTCAATTTTTTCAATCACTGCCATTTTTTAGGACAGGGTCCATGCATTCCTTCTTCCAATTTTCTCTGCAACCTTGCTTGTGTGATAGACTGGACTAAGAAAGAGGAACTGGCTCCCAGCAAACCTCCATGGATCAGTGGGGATTAGAATCTGGGTCTCCAATATTTTAATCACTATATTATAATGGCTCTTTTTAAAATAAAGATAACAGAGAAAATAATAGACACCATGCTTGAATGTAAAGATGTAAGTTTGTTTATAATATTTCTACCCCAATTTCCTACTAGAAAGTATTCTAATTAACTAAAAGCTATGATCTTTAGTGCATGGGAAATTGCCTTAGAGAAAGTCAATCCACATGTTTACCTGGTGAGAAACAAAATCCAGCAAGTCCTAAAACCTGGTGAAAATCAATCAGCACACATCAAGCTATAATGCACAAATTATAAACCAAAACACACACAACAGATACCTTTACAAAATTTGAATACTCCTGCCAAATATAGAACAAAAGGAAGAAATGAGAAAAATATCACAACATCAAGAAGCTGAGGGCCATACAACAACTATAAGTTGTGTTTTGTACTGTATTTTCTTTTGCTTTTTATATTTGATCATAACCTTATAATGTAGAATGGAATGCAGAAGTTTTCTGTCTTGAAAACCAAATTTCTAACATTTTAACTGCAAGATAAGAACTTTCTCAGGCAGAGATAACAAAGGGATATTCACTTTATGTACTATTTGAACTGACTGCAACTGTATCCCTTTACAACAGACTCAAAGAGACTGTGACATCTTTTCCCATGCTTTTTATTTTT